GGCAGCCAATCACACCCGGAGGCTGGCCTTCCCCCGCAACCCTCTCCCCCTCCGCCGGCTTCTTAACCCTTAGCTCGCCAGGGCCAGAGCCCGGGTGGCTTGCGGACCCAGGAGCGCCGGCGGGGGCGGGGTCTCTGGCTTCGGGGTATGGGGTCCAGACCTCGCGGAGACCGGCTTTGGGGGCCAGCGGAGCCTGGGGAGAGGCTCGGCTGTGTCCCGTGAGCCGTGAGCAGTGCCGGGAGCTTCGGCGACCTTTGTCTCCTGCTTGGCGCCTGCACGGGAGTGTGACCCAGGGCGCTGCAGCTGCATTTGTGTGTGTGTGTGTGTGTGTGTGTGTGTAGGAGAGAAGGAAACAGAAAAAGCGAGGGAGGGATGGAACTTGCGAGCTTGTGTGTTTATGTGTAATGGGCAGACAGACTATATTTGGGGTTTGCTACTGGGTGCTTCCGTGTGTATGTGTATGCGTGCGTGTGTGTGTGCGTTTAAGTGTGTATAAGAGTGAGAGAGGGGCCAGAGAAGCGGGTGGGGAGGTAGCAGCTTGAAGAACGGATGGCTCACCATACCTGTGTGTTTGCATGTCCAGGAGAGAAACTGTCAGTAGTGTAAGTGCGTGAGTGAAGGAAGAAGGCACAGAAGAGGTGTGTGTGCTATATTTATATGATGTGTGATCTATACGTTTGGGGCCTGTTGTACATTCGTGTTGGTGTGGTGGAAAGACACTTTGTGTCCTTGTTGTAAACAAGTAGAGACCAACTCCTTGCAGCGTGTGGTTATTGTGTGCATGTGTACGTGTGCACGCAGGAGGGGGGCACGGCTGTGATTTGGTACACTGTGTTTGCAGCCCAGTTTGCAAGAAGGAGAGAGAAAAACATTGCGAGTGGTGACGGTGTGTGTGTGTGTTTTGTTTGCGTGACTTTGTGGTCATCTATATTTAAGTTGTGTTAGAAAGAGAAACTAACGTGTAGAGAGTATAATGGGTGTGTGTTCAGGAGAGACATAGACATCTTGGAGGAGGTGGAGTTTGGGCCTTGAAGGATGTATGAGTTCAGGAGGCCAGAAGGAAAGACTTGGGAATCTTACCTACCAGCCACAGGGTAAGAGGGAATTGAATTGGCTGGGGACAAAGGTGGATTCTGGGAGAGAGGGCACCCATGGCCATGACGAGAGTAGGAGTGGCCGGCAGCAATCCCCACTCAGGAGCTGGCTCTGGGTGACTCCGGGTGAGCAGAGGCGAGGTCTAGGCACAGAGTGCCAGGTTCCAGAAGGGATCATCTGCTCCTGGGCAGCGTTTACAGAAATCTGGAGGGCAGAGAAAGGGCTCTGTGGAAATAACTCTTCCCCCTTCCCTTCAGCAGCACTCCAAATTCTTCAGTGTGGCGAGAAGGACACAGGGAGGAGGGTCACTCGCCCAAGTTCACAAAGCCTGTTGAGTGCAGCACACAGGAAGTGTGGTGGAGAAGGGAGGGGAGGGCCATGCCCTGAAGGTGACCAGATCTTCGCTGGCCCACACTCCCTCTATGCTGCAGGATGGGTAACTTATGCCATCGGCTGCCCAGGCCTGGGCTGGTTTCAGATTCCTGACCACTCCCCAGGTATCTCCCTGGGAATCACAGCCTGACGCCTGGAGGGACATTCTGAAATCCAGGGAGAAGCAAAAGTGCAACCCAGTTACCCTGGCTCTCCATTTGCCAGCGATGTAATTGTGGGGTATCCCCTTCTCCTCTCTGAGCCTCAGTTTTCTCCTCTGTAAAATGACATTTGTAATTTTTGCCCTCCCCCCGTGCTAATGTGAAGATTTAATGAGTTAATGTACATGCAGGCCCTTTGGCAAGCTACAAAACACAGAAAAACGTTAAGCACTAACCCATTTATACAAAATTCAAAAATAAGCAAAACGAATCTTTGCTGTCAGAAGTCAGTCTCCTGTTACCTTGGAGGAGGGAATGACTGGAAAGGGGGCCCCAGGGGACTTCTGGGTGCTGGTAAGAGTGTTTCAGGATGGAGGGGCTGGATACAGGGGTGTGCTTAGTTTGCGAAGGCTCCTTAGGACCCGTGTGTGTTTTTCTCTATAGGTTACGCTCCAACAACATGTTGAGAAAAGGAAAG